GTACAATGTTGCACATTGTACTTTTATGCTGATAGTGAGTTATTTAATTTATTTGTACCGTTCTTATTTCTTTATTTTCTGAATTGAATTTTTTTGTACATTTTGAGATATTTTTATTGGTATTCGAATAATAATTGTTATTGAATTTAAATATTTAAATTTTATGTAATTGGAAATAATAGTAATTTATTAGCTCACCACAATTTGTAATTAATTTCAATGGTTTTAATATTGTAATTATATTTTAATTATCTTTCCTTTTAATTGATTGTCTTTCAATATTGTAGATATTGAATTTAATACTTTTAATTGATCTGTATTGTATTGTAATAATTTAGAATTTATTATAGTTTGTTAGGTAATTAATAATATTTATTTTTGACAAAATTTTCCAACTTTAATTATTTTAACAATGTAATTAATTATAAGTATATTTTTGTAGTTTTTATATATAATATTTTTGTAATTTGATTGTATAATTCTGCCTGTTTTATATTGTATTTTATCAATTTTTATGTAAAGCGCTTTAAACAGAACTCTAAAAATGCGCTACATAAATTAATATTATTATTATTATTATTATTATTATTATTATTTTTATTAATTTTTCTTGATTTTACATCAATAATTGTAATTTAATTTAACTACTATTTTGGAGACTGTTCTCGTATATAAATGAATGAGTTGAATCAAAGCGTTAAATAATGATAACAGAGTTTAGAATTGGTTTGTGTGTTGTGTTTATATGATTTCAAAATTATCTTGGTGAAGGGGTTGGTAGTGTGACAAAGAACAGCCATTCAACATGTCTAATGTGTTGTAGCACGCTATGGTTTTCATTTGAAGGGGACTCAAATCAATTCCCTACATTTTTTAAACGTAAACATTTGGTTTTGAAAAGCGAGTGTACCGTACACCTGAATAAACAATTAATGAGTTTAATAAACTAATTCCAGGATCGTTTAATCAAACCCTTAAAAAAAAACAATGAATTTAATAAACTAATTCCTCCATGGTGTAATCAAACCCTTAAATAATAACAGAGTTTAGAATGCTTTGTGTTGCGTTTGTATGTTTACAGAATAATCTTGGTGAAGGGCAGGGGCGGATCCAGAGATGTCCAAAAGGGGGGCTGAAATTTGGGCCGATCGAGACAACAAAGTCCTAGTTGGTCCGGGGGGCATGTCCCCGCGAAATTTTTTGAGGCGTCGTTGAAAATAACATTTGAGGCGTTGTGGGCTATCATTTTTTCTTTCTTTTTTCTTTTTTTTTTCTATTTTTTACCTTCCAAAAGGGGGGGGGGCGGGCCCCTAAATCCGCCCCTGGTCATGCTTTTTGATTTCGCTGAGTGGGTGTTGTAGTATTGCTCATACTCAACTGAGCTTGTGAATAGTATACTGGGCCCCCAAAACAATTCAAATTCAAGTACGGTAAAAATAAGCCAATATACTTTTTCCTATGATACACACAGTCACTCTGTACAAATAGGTCCCACCCTATACACACTGTCGGTTGCGATGTTCGACAGCATGACCACAGCCACTGGGAAAAATGAGAATTCTCCATCCCAAGTTCAAAGGACCGACTTTGGCGGCCAAATCTAGTGTCCGCCAGACCATTTTTGGCCCGGACCACTTGGCGGACTACAACGTCATTAAAAGTTCAATTTTAAAACTGTTTCAATAATGTTATTATAATTTAGGTCTCTGGATTTTCGGACTCATTAACTCGTTGTTTTGATTTAAAACGAGGAGTTTCTGAAGTTTGGGTGGGAGTGGGTGGATCGAATGTCTTATATGAATTAAAATCGATACATAAAAAATGACGAGGCAATTGTCTTTATTTTATTTGTACTAACACAAACAATTTTCCAGTAGTAACTCACACTAAAAAAGGCGTTGATTTTTAACTTCTTTTTTCGGGAGGTGAAAGTAGGCTACCGCTTGTCCCCTACTCGCACGAAGGCGCCCTTTTTTTTTTATTAAATCATACAATACAGTGTACATCACCACTTTTCTGCATCAAACTATTCGCATCTCAGCACTGTCGGTCGGTCGGTCAGTCCATCTAGGCCTACGGCATCCATCAGTCTCCATAATTTTAACATGGTTCAGTTTCAGTTGATGCATAGGCCCCTGTCCTGTTCTTGTTTTATTGCACCCTTTTCGGATTTACTATCTAACAATTAAAATACTGGTCATTTTCAGTCAACAAAAGTAAACTGACCTCATCACTCTCGTATCTAAGCATAAGACTCAAACCCAGTCAATGATCCCGCTAATCTAAAATTGACCTGTCCGGTGGGGATTAATCCCCCCCCCCCCCCCCCCCCNNNCTTGGCCACCGTTGGACCCGACTAGCTGAAGCCACATCTTTCAATTTTTTCAAGTCGAATGAGGGGATCACGTGTAAGCTACTGAAAAGTTTTCGTTCTCTCACGTGACGAGATTATCACATGATACGTAACGCCAACAATTGGCCAACAACCACTAAGGCCAACACAACAACATGGAGTTCGAAGGAAGATTTCTTGGCTTGTTGCTTTTTGTCTTAATTTCAACAGTTTGTAAATCCATAAAGGTTGATCAAGCAAATGGAACAATACCGCTGGTCATGTGGCATGGCATGGGTTAGTTTTTGTGTCGCGTACAGTTGTAGTGTAGTAGTAGGCCTACTAGGCCTAGTAGTACTAGATAGTAGTAGTAGTATACAAATTCTTCTAGCTCAAGCCTGGCCCTCCTAGCTAGGCTAGGGCTGAGCCTACTAGGCCTACCTAGGCTATAGTGTAGTAGGGCCTACCTAGGCTATAGTGTAGTAGGCCTAGTTTGTTACAGCTGGTTATAGTTAGGTAGTGTAGTACGAGAAGCTGGAAAATCTCTAGCTAGCTAGGTCAAGGCCATCTAGGCTAGGAGCTAGATGGTAAAGATTTCCGCTGTAACAAATCAGATATGTAACGCCGTTACTAATGCCTTTGGTGGCTCTTTTCCGTTTGGCGTATTTGCTATTCGGCCCTTTTAAAATTACGTTCGGTGCTTTTACATTACGTTCAGTGCTTTTTACATTACGTTTGGTGCTTTTTACATTACGTTCTGTGGTTTTAACATTACGTTCGGTGCTTTTACATTACGTTCGGTGCTTTTAACATTATGTTCGGTGCTTTTAACATTACTTTCGGTGCTTTTGCCGCACTTCGGCTCTTTTATCATTTGGTGCTTTTACCTTTCCGCCCTTTCATCATTACGTACGGTTCTTTTATCATTCAGTGCTTTCATGACCTTTGACATCGGGTCAAGTGGAAAAAAATCAACGGCTGTGGGAATGAGCCTAGTGGAAAATCGCGTGTAACAAAGCATATTCGACATAGGATTATCTTAGTGATAAAATTAATAACTAACGAAAACAAAAATGTCCCAATCAATCAAAACAGTATTAGAAGACCTGGATCTACATTTTCTTGTCCCTAAGTTTGAAAGGGAAAGGGTACGTTCTAGTTTTTTTCCACATGATTTTGGTGGTATTTTAGGGCAAATAGAAATATAAGATTATCACTATATACCTGGTATTGAAAACAAAAATAACTAGGGGGGACTCTTCTTTATTCCGGATATGAAGAAGCAGGCTTATTTAAATAAAAGAAACGTAATTAATTAATTAATTAATTACCGGTAACCAAACGATTCCAAACAAGTCCGATCCCATTTTTGGCTTACATAATAAATAAAAGTTAAACTAAAAATTTCCCCCTCCAGTTGATTGATTTATTTTCCCCTCCCTTTACTGTCCGGTAAATGCTCCTTCCGTGGTTATCTCGTATTTTGATATTGGTATTTATTTTTTGTCTCTTTATTTTGTCTACCTTTTAAATATTATATAATATATATTTTATTCTTTCTTCTTAATTCATACGCAATTCAGCCTCTGTTGCTTCTATGTATGTTTTTGATGTTGAATTTTTAATAAATATACCTCAAATAAATAATAAAAACTTAGCATTTATATTACAACAAAGATAAACATTTGCAGGGTCCCAAGTTGGAAAATGGCAATTTCTTGGGGAGAAAATCCACAATTCCACATTTAGAACTCCCGATCTACGGCCAATTTGTTTCCATCTTGCGGGCATCTGATACCATTTTAATTGTTATTTAGGGCCTACCATGTTGTATAT